AGCCCGACTTCCCTGAATGATAATACATGTGAATCCAACCTGGAACGTACCACGCAAGAACGCGCGCCGCGAATGTCGGCGGTCCGACGTACGACGGACGACGAGTTTGCACGTGAACCACCCCTGGACGAGATCGACTTGCAACCAGACGAGCGACGCGGATACTGGAAACATTACGCGCCGCACAAGTGGTACAAGCAGGCCAAGATTCATGGAAAGCTGAACAACCGCCGTGCTGTGTTATTGCTCGACACAGGTGCCGAGGTGTCCATCCTGGACACCACCTTTGCTCGTGAGGTAGGCTGCCTGATTGACACGGAGATCACGCAAGAGTGGGTGGGAATTCGTGATGAGACATATTACACGGTGGGGAGAACCAGAGTCAAGATTACCTTGGCTGGGAACTTGGCGTACTACATGCACCTGTGGGTCGGCGACTTGGTCGGCCAACACGCAATCCTGGGAATGAACTTCATGGTGCCCGCTGGAGTGCGCATCGACACTGCAGATGGCACGGCGTGCCTCCCCGACGAGGTGCATATCCAGATGATCGGACGAAGACCGCTATACGGCGCACGGATGCACCCGGTCAACGTCAAGACGCCTGTGAGGCTCGAACCAGGAGACACGCATGAAGTCTTGCTGAGGCCGGATCGAAACGCGCCGTTCCTGTGGGTGACACGGGCAGAGTCGTGGGTGACTACCTTTGTCAAGGGGAGAGTCGGAAAGAAAACGTACCTGCGTGTCACGAACATCGGAGACGCAGCGATAACCCTCGACGCACATGAAACGCTTGGGTGGTGGACGCCGTCTGACGGCCAGCCTCGGAACCGTGGATTCGTCCGACTGGGCTCCACCCGGTACCAGCAGTGGCAGAATCTGGCGTACGGCGCGACGCGCGACGCGGAGGTGAACTGGATCCCAGCCGAGCTCGACGGACCGATGACGGATCGCCCCTCATACCCGACGCCTAAAGCCATCTTGCGCCCGGATCCGAGACAACTCGGGACGCGACGCGCCGTGACCCCAGTGTTGGTGGCTGTCGCGGAAGCGCCGAAGGGAAGGGGGGTAGACTTGCCACCCGACGACCACAAGCCGGATACGGCGAGGAGGCGGTGGAAAGCGAACCCGATATGCCTCCGACTGTGACTGGAAAATACTCGACGAGCCAAACTCGACGGACCAAACCCCGCCGAGCCGAATTTCGACGAGGCGAAACCTGATGAGCAGGAGGAAGACGACGCGGTCCTCATCCACGAGGGGTCCGACCTCTTTGTAGAGGATCTCGAGTCTGAGATGGCAGTGCTGCCAGACCTCTCACTGACCGCCGAGGTGAAGATCGAGGACTTGAAGGTCGGCATGCCGACTGGACTCCCGCCCGAGGAAGCCGCGAGACAAGAAACGCGGCTACTCCAAATCATCTGGAAGCGACGGAAGTGGTTGATCGGCAACGCCTTGCCGCCAGCCGCCCTGGGTGTTGTCTGCGACATTGACGTGGGCGACGCAAAACCCGTCGCGCAACGCGTCCGGAAAATCCCGCCGCAGTTTCGAGAGAAGGTCGCTGACTTGATCAAAGGGCTGTTGAGCGCGAGGATGATCCAGAAGTCGAAGTCGCCGTGGGCATCGCCCATTGTCGTGATCATAAAGAAGAACGCCGTCGATATCCGGCTTTGCATTGACTACAGGCTCATCAACGGGCTGACACAGTTGATGATTTACCCCATGCCGCTCGTCAACGACTTGCTCGAAGACTTGGACAAGTATCTGTGGTACTGCTCCCTCGACATGGTGAGTGGCTTCTGGGTCGTCCCCATGACAGACCGGGCCCGCCTCATCTCAGCCTTCATCACGCCGATGGGACTGTACGAATGGCTGCGTATGCCGTTCGGCCTGTGCAACGCGCCGCAGATTTACCAACGCTTGATCGACAACGTGCTCTACGGGTTCATGAAGCTGTCCCCGGATGGCAGCACTCGGGACGTCTTTGAAGACGGCAAACCGGTGAAGCCAGGTATTCACTCCGTTCTGGGACGGAGGTCGTACATCGACGACATCCTCATCGGGGGCACGTCGTGGGACGACCTGTGCGAGAAGGTCGAACGCTTGCTGGATGTCTGCGAACAGTGGCACTTGTCCATCAGTGTCGAGAAGAGCGAGTGGGGCATGTCCAAGGTCGACTACCGGGGCCACCGAGTCTCAGGACTCGGTCTCGAGGCGAGGCCGAAGAATCTGGAGTCGCTGACGTCGCTCGAGTTCCCGCGCACGCTCAAGGGCCTGTAATCGTTCTTGGGTAGCCTCGATTACTACCACCGGTTCATTGCAGACTTTGCGGTGTAGGCAACCGCGCTGTATTCGCTGACGGAGACCGACTTCAACGAGTACGTCACGCGTCCAGAAGTCCGCGGACATGAGAAGTGGACGCACGCGACGCGCGCCTTCGATGCGCTCAAGGCAAAACTCGCCGGGACCCCAATGTTGAAGCACTTCGACGCGAACCGAGAATCCGTCGTGATCGTGTACGCCAGCGACTGGGCCATCTCAGGGGTGCTCACGCAAGTCCACGACGATGTGTACATGCCTGTGAAGTTCACCAGCCGTACGCTGAAGCCCAACGAGCTGAACTACGACATCGTCGAAAAGGAGATCTTGGCCCTGTTGCGCGTCTTAAACGAGTGCTACACGATGCTTGCAGGGAGACCGGTCCGCGTCTTAACACATCACACGACGCTCGCCTGGTTGGTCCGGTCCAAAGGACTACAGGGGCGGCTGTCACAGTGGGCCGCGATCCTCTCGCCGTGGAAGTTGGAAATCTACCGATCCATGAAGGGAGAAGAAGAACTCCTCGGCGCGCTGGCCGCGAGCATTACCCCGCGAGCCTTCGTCGACGCGGCGCTAGAAGAAATCGCCCTACGGAGACGGGCGTCCAGGATTGTAGTCATTCCAGTCCCCGACGTGGCGCGCGACGAGGTCTTGCACGTCTTGAGCTTTGACGGATCGGCCAAGGCGAAGCGAGAAGGCGGAGCATACAGTGCCGTCATTTGGCAGCTGCCGAACTGGGAGATCGTGCGCGCCACGTCGGGATATGCGACGGACCTCACGGCCAACGAGGCGGAATACCGCGGGCTGCTGCTCGGATGTTCTCTTCTAGAGGAGCTTGACGACGTCACCCGACTCGTCGTATGCGGAGACTCCAACCTTGTCATCAGGCAGATGCGGGACGAGATGGACTGCAAGTCCCCGGGGTTGAAGCTGCTGGGACAAAAGACGCGAAACGCACTCCAGGCATGGCCGCGCCACGAACTCTTCCACGTACGACGAGACTGGAACGCGAGTGCCGACATGCTGGTTGGACAAGCTCTGCAGCGTCAAGGAGGTCGCAACGCGCACAGTCCCGAGGAGATTCAAGATCTGAAGACGCTGAATCGCTTGGAAGAAGTCATCCGGCCACGGACATCGAGTCCCGAGGTGGCGTCTCCAGCCAGTCCCGACGCGGATAATCTCGACTCGGAAAACCTCGTCGCGACGTACCCGTTCCAGGTCATTGCCATGGACTATATTCCGTCGTTGCCGGCATCCTACAAAGGCAACACAGAGCTGTTAGTCTGGGTCGCCCTCTTCACGGGGTTCGTCGTGGTCAAAGCGAACGCGTCACGAACCGCGCAGACGGTGGCCGAGGCGTACGAGGAGGGGGTGTTTATGCGCTTCGGCGCGAGCGAGGCTATCTGCCACGACCGCGAGCCGGGCTTCATGTCCGACTTCTTCAAGGCGTTCAGCAAACTCATGGGTCAGAGACAGCGAGCGACGCTCGCTTATCGTCCCCAAGCTAACGGTGCTGCAGAACGGATGGTGCAGACGGTTACAAGAGCGATCAAGATGTACATTGGGGATGTCGACCAACGCGACTGGGACGAATACGCCGAGCGTCTTACCTTCGCGCTAAACACGTCGCACGACCGACAAGGAACGAAACCCCGTTCTTCTTAGTGCACGGCTGGGATCCTCGGTCGACGCTGGAAGCAACGCTGGCCGTCGGGAACACGTCGACCCGGGACGCCGAGGCGCGGCGGTGGAGGCTCCGTATTCAGCGACACTACAAGGTGGCAAGGGCACAAGCGTTGGAGTTAGTCCGAGAGGCCGTCGAAGAGAGAGGCGTCGACAAACTGAAAACGCGACGCAACATGAGATCGCGACGGGCTCGCAAGTTTGGCTGTACCTGGATCGGGTGAAGCTGGGGTATGCGCGCAAACTCGCGCACATGTGGCACGGACCCTTCCGCGTCGCCGAGCTGGTCAGCGCGTTCGCAGTGCGCCTCGAGACGGCGGGCACGCCCTATCAGCTGTACCTCGTCGTCCACATCTCCAAGCTGAAGCCCGTCCGGGAATTCCCGTCGCGACCCGCGACGCAGCTGACGGTGCCGGCCGAGGAGCGCTTCGACTTCGACGAGGAGCTCTTGCCGGAGGATAGCTGGGAAGCCACGCGCGAGCTGGAGGACGACGCCTTCGAGGTCGAGAAGATCGTGAACGTGCGCGAGGGGCGGGCTACCCGGTATGGGCGCACGCGACGCAAGTTCGAAGTCAAATGGAAAGGCTACCCGGACACAACGTGGGTCGACGAGCTCGATCTGAATTGCGGCGGGTTGCTGTACGACTTCCTGCGCCAGCGCACGGGACGCAACCGGTTCGAGGCGATGCAGTCGCACGAGAACGCGGAGGCGGTGGAGCCTGGTGGGTGAGCGCCCGCGGGTGCGACTAAGTCGGCGGGGGGGGGGGGGGGCTGCCGACGGGAGGACTGGCGGGAAGCCTCGACTCTGGGAATGGCCGGAGCGAGGGCTTGGATGAGGGAAGTGAGGAGGACCAGCCTGTTGCTGAAGGTGGGACGGCGGAGCGCCGTCTCATAAAAGATGTGGAGAAGTGGAAAGAAACAAGGGAAAAGAGCAAGGCTACGTGTTGAAGTTACGGCTACAACAACTAAACGCGACGGACTGTGACGATGGGCCAGACTCAAACCTGCTGGACAAACTTACCTGCAAGACGCGGCACATAGAAGGCGGGGTGATCGCGCGTCGCTCGGCAGCGTACGTTGACGTCCATCTCGGCCACAGTGAGCGGCTCCCGATAGAACCGGCGCCAGGGCTCCTGCGCGTCGATGTCGTCGAGCGCGGCTTGCACCGTCGCGTGCTGGAGGCCTGGATACCACCGTCCGATCGACGTGTGCGCGGGCAGAAAGGGAAGCACCATTGGGTCCAGCAAGAGGTCCATGTCTGCGAGCCCTTGCTGGAACAGCCCGACCACCAGCTGCAACAGGCTGTTGACGTGGTTGCCCGCGTGTGAGCGACGTGAGTTGCGCGCCGTGCGCCACCTTTTCCACGCCGCGCCCTGCACGAAGAGTTCATGGGTGGACTCCCAGTACGCCTGAGCCCAGTGCTCGATGTGGTGCCGGAGCCGACGTAGGAATGGGCGGAACGCCACGTCACCGGACGCGAAGAGAAGCGCCTCAGCGGCTTGAGCGAGGTAGCGCCACGGCCGAGTCGCGTATAGCGCGTCGACGTTGGCCAGAGTCACGAGGGCGCGGTTCCAGTTCGCAGGCGCGGGGGGAACACGGCGCGGAATGATCCAGCCGGGCGGCGGCAGGAAGAGCGTTCGCAACTCCTGCACGGTGATGAGATGAAGGCGGAGACGTCGTACCCGCTTGGACCAAGGAGCGTAGCGAGGCTGCCGCCAGCCAGACGGAGTTCCGGCAGGCGGAATCACAGGGTCGAAGAAGGGCGCCGCCGGAGCACTCCCCGCCGAGCCGCTGGAGACGGTGCTCGAGGACGAGGCGCGGGACGACGAGGAAGCGGACGAGTCGTCGCCACTGGAGTCGCCCGAATCGCCCGGATCAGGGCCTGGTCCAGCTCCTGCTGCCACACGGCCCCTCGGCGACGAGTGCGTCGGCCGTGCAGGAGAAGAGTGATGCGAGCCGCCGAGTGCGCCGACCCCGCCGCGTGCGCCGAACGCGTTGAGCCGGCCGAACGCGTCGACACGAAGGAGGGCGAGCGAGAACGCGAGCGCGAGCGTGGAGGCGAGCGTAAACGTGAACGCGAAGCAGAACGGGAGCGCGGGGGTGTCCGGGAACGTGCCGGCGAACGTGGAGGCGGACGCGCCGGCGACCGTGACGGCAAACGAGGAGGCGGACGCGCCGGCGACCGTGAGCGAGACCCGGGGCTATGCAGCCGGCGGCGCTTGGACTGAGCTCGCCGCGCTTGGTCCTCGCTGTCCGAAGACTCGGAGCCGAAGAGCGACGCGTCCTCTCTCTCGCGCGCTGCAGCTGCAGCGGCCGCAGAGGGCGTAGCTGCAGATGAGGCCTGCACAGCGGCGTTGTCGGAAGCCGCAGTGTCGGCCACGGTAGAGGGCCGCCGACTACGTCGAAGGGGCGAAGAACCAGACGACGTAGCGGACGCCACTCCTGACGGTCTAGACGCGCGTGACTGAGAACCCGAACGACTCGACGCGCCGTGTCGAGGTCGGACAGGAGCCCGAAGGACCTGCTGGAGGGGAAGCGCCAGTCGTCGAGCCCGCCGTCGAAGTCGACGAGCCCGCCCGGGCACCAGAGCTCGACGCAGTTGAAGCAGGAACAGGAACCGCGGATGCCGCAGGAACTGCTGCGGACGTAGGAATAGCAGGGGGGAGGGGGGATCGCACCGTCGATCTCCGCCGTGAAAGTGGCTTCGAGTCGCCTGACCAGGTCAGCGGTGTCGATCTGCCCGCCTACACGCGTTACGACGCCGGCGAGACGATCGGCAAGCTCGTCGCGCACCCGCCGCGCCAGCTCTCGGCCCCGACGCGCGTCTCGAAGCATCCGACGCCAAGCCACAGCGCGTTCGTCGCGCTCTCGGATGGCCAAGTCGCGCTCCTCCTGCAGCTCGGCGACGCGAGCGCTGAGACGATGGGTCTGGGCGCCGACTGCTCCTCGACGCTGCTGCGACGACCGCTGCATGGACAGCCACCCAGCTCGATACTGCGCCGTGCGAGATGTGGTGCAAAGTTCGCCGGCTTGAGCCCGCGCCATCTCGGACTCGGCGGCCACACGGAGAGTCGTAGCAGTAGCCACTGACTCCTCCAGCTCGTGGATACGCGTCGCGCCGCGGCGGAGCTCCTCGGCGTGGGCCACTAAGAGCGCGTTGACGCGCCGAAGGTCGTCCTGCAGCGGGACGTTCAGGTTCGGGGCCGCCTCGATCTCCATGCGGCTATGAGAAAGCGACGCACGGGCCGCGCGGAGATCTTCGTCGACATGGGCGCGCTGCTGCTCCAGAGCGGTCAAGGCCTGACGAGCCTGATCTCTCTCGGCGACGGCAGCGTCTCGCCGCTGCTCAAGGGCGGCCACGGCTTGACGTGCCCGGTCCCTCTTGGTGACAGCAGCGTCTCGCTCGCGTCTCAGGGCCGTGGAGGCGCGACGCACTTGATCTCGCATGTCGAGGGCCCCGTCACGCTCTTGCTCGACGGCCATGAGAACGCGGGTCACGCGGACACGCTCGGCGAGAGCGGCGTCGCGCTGCTGCTCGGCAGTGGCCACGAGCTGCCGCATGTGATCTCGTTCAGCTTCGGCGGCGGCCACGCGCGCTTGGACAGGAGCGAGGGCGGCTTGGGCGGCTGCGAGGTCGACGCGAAGGTCGTCACGCTCGGCGCGCGCGTCGTCGCGCTCGCCTTGTGCAGCAAACAGCCGCGCTAGCGACACGGTGGAGGGAGGCGGCGTAGCAGGAGCGCGCGCGAGTTGGGCAGTCAAGTCAGTGACCTGGTCTCGTGCCGCCCGGAGCTGAGCTTGAAGATCACGATATTGCTCTGTCGAGGAGCCTCGCTCGGCGCGGAGTAGAGCCTCGGCAGCGTCGGCACGCTCAGCACGAGCGCGGAAGTCGGCCACTCGGTCCTCCAGGACGGCGTAGTCCCGCTCGGCGTGCTCCCGGGAGAGGAGCGCCTGCTCGAGCCGGATCATGCCTGCGCGATAACCCTCGCGAGCACGATGCAAGATCGCGAGATTGCGGTCATGCAGCACGGACGCGTGAGTAGCCAAGCCCGCATTGTGCGCTGAGACGAGTTAGTACTGGGCGCGCAGCTCCTGGTTCTCGCGCTGGAGAGTGTGCGCGTCGGCGACAAGAGCAGTCACCGAGTGGACGGGGGCGCCTGAAGCCGGAAGCTGGACTTGGGGCGCGACGGGGAGGCGAGGACGATGCGCGCCGAGGGCACAAACCGCGCAGCCAGCGGCCTCGAGGTCGTCGGTGTCAAGCTCTTCTTCCTCCAGGTCGATGTCGTTGACGTCGACGTCGTGGCGGCGAGCCATGAAGCTTGGAGTACCGCGAAGCGGACTGCGATGGCAGAAAACGCGATGGTGTCGAGACGAAGCGAAGGCGCGGGGCAGGTTCTGCGACGACACACCCACCTGGGGAGTGCGCGGGCGTGGCAGCGGGACGAATGTGGTGTAGTACCCCGCGGAAGAAGTGGGCGCGCCGGGCGCCGGAGGAAGAAGGCGCCGGGACGCGAGTGATGGACCTCGACGCGGCTGATGGAACGTGACGCGGATTGATGGGCGCGACGCAGGGCTGAGCTCGACGGGAAAGTCGGCGTGGGTGATGGGCCGTGAGACACGGTACCAGAATCCAGTGCGACGCGTAATCATCCGACGGGTCGACCAGCGCACCCGGTTCTGCAAAACGCGCCGACCCTAACCCCCGCCGACCAAAACGCGCCGAGGTAAGATCTTGATTGCGCCACGCAAATCAGGTTGAAGGACGGCAGTGCAAGCACGACAGAAGTAGGGATAGGCACAGAGCGATAGGCTTAGCAAGCAGTAGTACGGAGTAGCCAGTAGCTAGGGCATAGGATAGGGTAAGGACTCAGTCCCGAAATTTCTCTGAACCACAAAGACCTCCCGTCTTCTCCGAGGTTCCAGGGGAACCACCAAGCGCCGGCAAGTAGAGCCGCCTCGATATCGCGGCCCCCCGTCGTTTGCTGGTTCGGGTGCTCACCCCCCACAGACCCGTGCTGGAACAAAGGCACGTTAAACGTATACCATTTAGGTGGGCGCCCGATAACGCGCTGCCTAGGCGAAGGACCGCACTGGCCTGATAACCGCCGTGCACAAGACCCCCCGTGTAGGCCCGATAACGCCACACAAGCCCCAGGAAACGCCGGCCTGATACCGCCGCACGCCCGACGGGAACGCCGAGGAAACGCCGGCCCGATAACGCCGCACGCCCAAGGCTCGACGCCCTACGACAAGGAACAAGCGTCAACACAAGAACCCCCCAACTCTGAAGCCTGCGAAGACTTGGGCCTGTATTTCGAAGATACGCTACTCCAACAACCGGGAATAATTCGCTCGGCGCGACCGCTATCCAGACGCGCCGAGTTTGTGCGAGATCGCATTCGCGAGATTTCTGCGAGGGCGATACTCGACACCGGCGTCCATACGCCCAACTTCTTGCACGTCCGCCAAGACAGGACATGGCGAGCGCGACATTCGACAACGGGTCGACAATACGTCGAGCCGCAATGGCAGTGTCGAGTTCAACAAGCCAACGGAGGAGAGGTTCACCCTCTCTTCCGACATAGTTACTCACATTGAGCTTCAGCGATTGCGCGCGTGGTGTTGTGGTGTAGCGGGATCGGCCGAAATCTGGTTAAGGCCTGATCGAGCTTCCCACCAGCGCCCAGACACCGACTAACGGAGGGGGCCCCCCAACGATCCGTGATCGGCTGAACTTGCTCTCACCTTGTGTACCCGTCGGCGAACTGGATCCGCTCTCTCGGGGCTCCGAAGATGCAGCACTTGGTGAAGATCGAGTGTCTTGGCGTGACGCGGGGATAGGTTGTGGAGCAGCGCGGTAGTCTTCGCTCTGCGTCCGAGTATACGCTCCGATCGAGGGTTGTTCGCTCCGATCGGTCGGCCTGGAGTTGATCCAAGGCCTGTAGTTGCCTTTCCGGGTGTGTTCCTTCCTTTCCTGAGTTGCTTGCCGCTTCCTATAGCGGGATCGAGGTTGATCCAGAGGAGAAACGATCGCCGGCCAAGCACTAATACCCGGTCGATCGAGGACTTGCACCCAAGAGATAGATCACTAGAGTAGGTCAAGCTGGCCAATGCATTAATCCAGTCTTAACCGTACCGCTAGTTCACTACCCAAAGTGTCGACCCTGCCGAGGCCAATGTAGTTCCTGGGACTTGGTGACTTGAGGGGACTTGTGCTCTTCGGTGCAAATTCTGCTCGAGAGCGACTTGCCGGGGCTTGGTGGTCTTGGATCACGCGTGGGGTCAAATCTGTTTCCACAACGCAAGTCGATCGAGGCCAATATGCTCTTCCTCCTCGAGATTCCAGACCACTTGCGCTCCACGGTGCAAATTCGACTCCGATTTATGTTTAGCTGGTCTCTCCCTAATGCTACCATCTTGCTTACCCTCCTACAACCACACGATTACTGGATTCTTGCCCCGACTTCGTCCTCCATGTGCGTCCCATCATGGTCGATCCACGATCGGCCCCGATCGGCGACCCCAATCGGCGACCCACGATCGGCGACCCACGATCGGCGACCCACGATCGGCTCCCGATCCACGATCGACACCGATCGGCGATCCACTCCCGATCGATGACTTATGCCGGTTGCCATGCGCCGCCGATCTATCACCTTCTGTCCTCGGCCATCTCAGATCCGCGGGTTCTGTCGTCGATCTGGACTTGGGTCGGCCACGAATCACGCCGCGGTTCGGGCACGATCACCCACAATCCGGCTTGCCACATGTCCTGCCTTACGCGCCGGCGTCATCGGACCACCTGAGATCTCCCGAAGAACTCCTTCTGATCCGTAGATCCTTGCTGCCTGTCTCTCGATCGCCGATCTCCCACGCCTCCAGTCGATCGGCCCTGCCGCCTTTCTCGGAGAACAATCTTATTCAGCACTTCTCCACACCCGCCCCCTGGCCGCAAGTTGTGTCGCACGGCGGCTCACTTCGGACAGTTCGACCTTGGTCATTCTCCAATTCGCCGGCCCAAGTGCAGATTACTCCAGATGGACGCACCGCCGACCAACCCTCCGGCACATCCCCCCAGCCCGTCGGGCGACGGCGGTTCGACACACAGCTCGCCCCGGTCGACTCATTTGACCCCTCGATCGACGCGATCGACGGCCTCCCGTCATGCCGCGGCTTCTTCCGACGCTGCCCGCCGAATCGCCCGCCTAGAAGATGAGCTGGCATGCGCCTACGCTTCCCGATCGACTATGATCCGCGACCGGGCGCGCCAGGACGACACCGTGCGCGAGCTGACCGCGAACCTACACGACTTGGAGCGCCACCGCTGGGCGCAAGAGGAAGAGATCCGCCGTCTCCAGACTGAAGTCAGCGACCTTCAGCAGAGTGCTCAGGGTCAAGGTCTGCAGCTGATCCAAGGCCTCCGGAATCAGATAGCCCAGCCAGCCGCCGAGATCCAGGATCTGGATCGTCGGCTGACGCGCGCTCAGGCTCATCTCGCGACTGCTAGTGCCGATCGTGATCGACTGGACCACCAGCTCGATCTCGCCACGGCGGACATTTCGGACCTCCGATCGCAAGTTTCCGAGCAAGAGCGCGAGCTGGACGAAGTGAACCACGAGCTGGACCTTACACGCGGTAGCCTCGATCGGGTCCAAACTGCCCTTCGGATGGCCGAAACAGCCGCGGCCACTCCGGCCGCTCCAACCCCGACGCCTCCCGCCGGACCCACGCCCGACGTCGATCGACTGCAGGTTGCCCTCCGCCAGGTGAATGAGGAGCTGGATCGGATGCGTACCGCCCGAGATACCGCGAGAGACCAAGCCACCGCTGCCGTGAAAGACGTCAATCAAGCTCATCAGGCCCGCGACGTTGCGCTCCGAGAGAACGCCGATCTCCGTACGTAAACTTTCCGTGTCGCCAATTCCGTTGTCGATCGCCGCTCATGCCGTCGCTGTGTTACAGGATCGTGTTTCGAAAGCGCGCAACAAGTGATCCGCGCCCAAGACGCCCAATTCATCGACGTCCAGGACGCCTACGCTATGTTGCGGCGCGTCAGCGATCGATCCAACGAGTATCTCGAGAATGTGGCCGACGCCTTATCTCGCGTAGTTCGGTGGATTGGACTTCGCCAGTGCGCGCCGACCACGCCTGTCCGTCGTAGCCGCAGACGTTCCGGATCTCCGGACTCCGTCGGGCACATCCACAAACGTGTCCGATCGGCGCCTCCACCACGCAGTCGGTCTACGAGTCGATCGCCTGCTCGGGCTCCCTCACCTTCCTTTTCGTTACCCGGCCATGACGATGAACTCCCCGCTGGGGGTCAGCCCGCCGAAGATCAACCCGCAAAGAAGGTGCCTGCTGCAGATCAACCGCCTTCCGATCTGAACGATCAAGAGGGATCGGACCAAGAAGAGTCAGGTTCGCCCCCTCGATCTACGCTGGAAGACCGGTCGGAAGAGGAGGAGTCGTCTCCGGCCCGATCCGCGGCCGACGAGGAAAATTCCGAATCGGAGGGGCCCGATCAAGAGACCGACGAAGAAGAAGACGAGTCGGAGGGGTCTGATCAGGAGGCTCTCGCAGCCTTAGCTCGATCCCAATCGGAGGCTCGCCGCCGTCAATCTGCCTCGCTGGCCCGTACCCACACTTCGCCGGCTCGCTCGCGGTCGCGATCGCCCTCAGTCGTGTCGATCCACTCCCAATCTGGATCGGCTCGCTCCCAATCGTCCCACGGAACGCGTCAGTCCCGTCATGGCTCACCTGGACCGACGCCTCCGGGATCCTCGCCTGGTTCCCCACCTGGATCGCCGCCGCCCGGTTCTCCGCCTGGATCGCCGGGGCGTCGTCCTCTGGTCCCGCCGTTGTTCCCGATCGGTACCATGATCCCGGGTTTCAACGCCCCCAGGGCACTCGCTCAGACTGATACAGACCCCTGGCCTTCGTTCCTGCCGGGACAGCTACAGATCACCGGC